AGGAGCCGTCCTCGCTGCCCGGAGGAGCGGGCGGTACGAACACCACAACACGGGGAAGCGGTGGAGCGGCGAGAGTAGCGCCGGACTCAAGACCATCCTGCGAGTCTGTAGCGCTGTCAGGCGAAGTCAACGAGCGAGTCGGCAGCGTACAACCAGTCGAACCTCTTTCTCGTCCTCCTTGGACCCCTGCTCTTCACTGCTCTCGGTGACTGCGCGCTGTGACTGGCTTGCTGGGATTGTTTGACTCTTCTTCTGCTCGCCGGAACGGTCTACGAGGTGCGCACGCTGTCCCACGCTCATACTCACCCGCTCCCAATTCTCATCAGTTCTTGCTCGCACAGACCCGCCGACTCGCCTGGCGGCCGCGCAGACACGCAAACAGACTCTAGGTCTACGTACAACTCGCCCTCAACCGTTCACCCCTCACCGCCGCCATGACCCGCCTCTCCCTCGCTCAAACGGTCCCAGCCGAACTCCTCACACGCATCTTCGGCTGGCTCGTGGCAAGTCCACCCCATGGAGACGACGGTGGTCCTCCTTTCAGCGGGTGTCTCGTCACCTGGCCGTCTAGCTCAAGATCGTTGGGTCTTTGTTCGGCGGCACTCGTCTGCCGCAATTGGGCGGGCTTGGCACAACGCGCCCTGATGTGCTCCATCGACTTCTCGACCATCAACAAGAAGGCTCTCGCCGCCACACTTCAAGCGCGTCCCGACCTTGCTCGTGCCGTACGAGCGGTCGACCTTGGTGTCGAGCCTTGCCCAGAGCTTGCAACGGCGTGGTCTGCCCTGGCGACCTGCTCGGGCATACGGCACGTGCTGATGAGTGGGATCCCACGCCAGGACTACCATCGGATTGTCAATCTCCTGCACAGCCTGGAGCTCGAGACGCTGCTCGCAGCCCGCAATTTGGACCACGATTGCGCGTTTCTTTCGCCGGACGACCTCGTTGTTCTGAGCCGCAAACCATCCATGCGATGCCTCGACATAATGGGAGACCCCGAAGGCCAGCCAGGAGATGTCCCGCGAGATGGCCAGTCGGGCGGCGACTCGTTCTTGTCGAGTGCCTCTTTCGACTTGTGCCACCTGCCAATGTCCTGGGCATGCCCCCTTCTTCGCGCTGCGTCCTCGACTCTCCGGCGTGTCGTTCTCGCTCATTGGCAGCCTTTGACGTTCGAGGGCATTGGCGTCGTCCTTCTGTCGCTCGAACAACTAGAGGAACTGGCCGTCGACGTTGAGCACTGGAGTGACCTGCCTATTGACCCTTGGTTCGACGACGTTCTTCCCCGACTCAAGACGCTCGTACGACTCTCGGTTTCGTCCGGATTCGCCCGGCCCAGTATCATTCGTTCCGCGCCGCCCACCCTCAAGGACCTGATCTACGAATGCAACGAGATCTCCCTCGCGCCATCTTTAGAAGCTTTCACCTCGCTTCTGTCGACGGAGAACAAGCCCTTGCCCGTCAACAAATTTCGCGTCGCGGCCTACTTTGCGGAGGAACGCCTGACGACAAGTCATCCGGTTCAAGAGGCCGTCAAGGCACTGGGTGATGTCTGCGCCGCCAGGAGTATGGATTTCTCCCTTGCCCTCGACTCAAGTCTGCACGACATTCCTCAGATACGCCACATCTCCTTCTTCTGGTGCGCATGGTTTTCCTCGCTCCTCTTGGAACGACGCTCGAGCAGTAGCACAGCTGACCGCCGCTTACGCTCGCAGATAGCTGGCGTCGACACTCGCGAGCCCCACTTCGTCCCGCAGCGATTCCTGTAATCAACCGTTGCTGTCACTCGATCGCGTTCAAGGCTGCTTCCTGCGACTGTCATTAGCGTACAGGTGCTCAGAGAGTGTCAGCGAACTGCACGAGCGCTCTGCGAGATCAAACCACCTCCCCTTCACCTCCTCGTCGCTGGTCTCCTCTCGACCGCTCAGTGCTCTCGCTCACCGCTCGCTTGAGACTGCTTTGCTACTTCCGTTGACTCCTCTTCTGCTCGCCGGAACAGTCTACGAGGTGCGCACGCTCTCCCACGCCCTCCCTCACCCTCTCCTGGTTCTCATCAGTTTGCGCTCGCACAGACCCAACGACTCGCCTAGCAGTTGCGCAGAACACGCCGAGTACGACAACAGAACCTCTTACATCCCTTCGCCTACCCTCCAGTCTTCAGTCGCGCCATGGCCCGCCTCTCGCTCGCCCAGACTCTCCCGCCCGAACTCCTCACACGCATCTTCGGCTGGCTCGTGGAGATCAGCGTGCGACCCAAGATGGGCAACTTCGCTCGCAGCGATGTGCTCTTCTTCCTCGTGCCCGCGCGCTGTGCCACTCTTCGAGCCGCATCCCTGGTCTGCCGGCAATGGCGCTCGCCTGGACAGCAAACCCTCTTTCGCTTCTTGGACTTGACCCAAGGCGACTTGGAAGGACTCTTAAGCGTGGTAACGACTCATCCGGACCTCGCGCGCGCCGTCCGAGCCGTTCACGCCGGTATCGATAGCGAGCACGAAACACGACGGTTCCCGACGGCGGAGGAGCAGCGCTTCGTCGACGACTGCACGAATGCGTGTCGCATCCTCGCCGCTTGCGACAACGTCAAGCATCTCGTTCTGCGCGGATTTATGCGGGAAACGCAGGCGAGACTCATCGGTGTCCTCGATTCGATCGAGCTCGAGTCGCTTGGATTTGGCGAGGACTTCTGGTCTTCCTCGTGGCACACTCGGCTGTACGAGTTGTCACCGAACGATCTCACCGCGCTTGTACAGAAGCCGACTCTGCGCCATCTCGAAATGCGCTGTTCGCGCGCGCTGAAGGCGTACCGCGCGCCTTTCCTGCCACTATCGTTCGTCAAGCCATCTTCAAATGTCACGACACTTGCCCTCAATGTTGAATACCCGAGTTTCGCCCTCCGACTGATCCAGCTGGTCGCAACAACACTTCTTGACTTGAGGATCTACACCGAGTGCATTTTCCCGGACGGCCAAGCCATCAACGTCTTCGAGAGGCTGGAGCTGTTACGGCGCCTCGACTTTGCGGACAACAGCTTGGGGCCGGAATTCACCGCTCGCAACTCTTGGCTCATAACCGCCATACCTCGCTTGCCTTCCCTGCGCGAACTAAGGGTGGGCGACGACTACGAGCCGTCCCGTCTGCTACAAGCATTGCAACAAGTCACGCATCTTTCGCACCGATTCCGCCTCATCGAGCCACACGCGAAACTTGTGTCGTTCCGCGATGCCCTGCGCGCCACGGCCAATTCGCTTCGAATCAGATCACTCTTCGTCAGTGACTACCCTATGTGGGATCGGGATGCACGGGCTGTGGTCGGCGAGATCGTGACTTTCGCGGCGTCCCGTGGCATGGCGGTGGTGGCCTCCTCGTCGGAGCCTGATCAGTACTCGTACCTCTCCTTCTTCTGGTACGTCGACTCCTTGCCCATGGCAGCCAAAACGTGCTGACTCGTGAACGTGCAGATTCCGGCCCGCACGCTTCGTTCTGTAGCTCTTTGGCCTCCCAGTCCGCCTGCCAAATGTACTCACCATTCCGCTCAGCCCGTTCCTGCGAGGGGAGCGCAAGCCCGCATCTATTCCAACCCCACGCTCGTCCCCACAATTGCACAAACCCTCGCCTTCTCCCCCCTCCGCTTCACGACCACCCCATTTTCGCTCGCAGCGATGAACGAATCTACCACGACTACTTCTCCCTGTGCTGGAGTTTCGGAGGTGGAGAAGTGCGGAGGGATGTCGGAGTGAGGGACGGAGAGGAAGGTGAGCGTATTGCAAGGGGGAAGGGAGGAGAGAAGGGAGGGTTCGGAGGGATGGTGGAGGAACTGCGGGCGGAATCGTCAGTCTCGCGAGCGGCGAGGGGAAGGGAAAGGGCGGCGCACGACGACGTAGTAGCCCTTCTTGACGTGTTCTTCCGTCTCGACCGACATCGCGCCGCGCGAAGGGTCGCCGGCCATGATCTTCGAGACGTGTCTCGCCTTGCTCAAATCGAGCGGGAGCTGTTTCGAACCTGCATCAGCTTCTCATCCTCGAGCCCTGACTGGCGAACGTACCTCCGGCTTTCCCTCATACACCGCAACAAAGAACTCCTTCTCCTTCTCCTGGTTCCGCTGCGCAGCGGAAAGGTTCGAAGCGGATGTCCCGAAGAGGTCGTTTACCGCGCTGAGGAGGAGGCGGGCGGCGTTTTGGGAGGAGAGGGAGAGGACGATGTTGCCTTGCGAGCTGTGGGCAAGCGCTGTCAGCGCGGAAGAAACGGAAGGAGTGGGAGGAAAAGGCACCTTGTTACTTCGTAAGGCTCGCCGAGCGGCTGCAACCCGCCGTAGTCTAGTCGCGGCTGCTTCCTCTCGCCCGTCGAGTTTTGCACGATCGCAAAGCCGACTGCACCAGTCGAAGCCTCTTCCGAACCGTAGAAGAGCGAGAAAGGCGCGTGCGAGGGCGAGTGGAAGGGAGTCGAGGTACCGAGCATGCCGACCTATAACGCCGAGATTGTCAGCGTATGAGAGAGAGAGAGAGTGGATGCGAGAGGACGCACAGTCGCGGCGGAAGAATAGATCGAGTGCGAGTCGAGGAACGGTTGTATCCGGTCGGCGGTGAAGACAACGAGCTCCTTGACGTCCTTCGGGCTGTGCGTCGCACGCAAGAGCCATTGGAAGTCCAACATGAGCACACATCATGCATCGATGGACAGGAGATTGCGCAACGCACTCAACACCCCTCAACTCGTCCACCCCCTCTTCTCCTCCCCGCTCACTCTCCCCAAACCCCCATTTCTCCCCCCTCAAGAACTTCTCAAACCCAACATCCACCCCCTGATCCTCGTTCTCGGAAGGCCGGATTTCCCTGCCTAGAGCGACGGGTGGTCGACCTTGGAGAGTTGAGCGGAAGGGGATTGCGCGGGATGAGGGCGAGGTGGGAGAGTAGGTCGCGAGGGAGAGATGGAATGCCTCGTCTTTGGAGGGGAGGGATGGCGCTAGCCGTGAAAGTAGCGACGAAGGGACGACTTCCGCCAGCGTCCCTAGACTTGTCCGCCCTTCCTTGCCCAACACCTCCCTCACCCGCCCTACCAACTCCTGCGGCGTATTCTTTGACAACGCAAAGAGCGTTACGGAGTCTTGGGCGGGTCGGGGGAGCGCTTCGATATGTGAGAGGAGGGAGGAAGGGGAGTGGGAGATGAGGGTTGAGCAGTGCCAGTGCGTGCGGCGCTGGGCCCGCACGAGTGGCTTGAGCGATCCGGATAACTTCGTTGCCCGTGTTTGTAGCATCTGCAGAGTCGGGCGAAGTGTGTGGGTGCGAGGAGGGCGACTCTAGCGAAAGGTCAACTTGCGCAAGTTCGGCTTCCGTGTCAATCGGGCGATGTCAAGCGTACTCAGCGATGTAGGAGAGATCTGGCTGTGTTAATGCAACAGGGACGAACGATCAAGGTATGCCAGGGACTTAGAGGGGATATAGACAGCGGCTAGTCATGCAACAGGACGAAGAGGGAATCTATACTCGATGGGCGGCGGAACATACTGCGGCTGTACGAGGACTCAGTCAGCGACCTAGACTAGACGAGCGCAAAGGGGAGAGGGAGGGTGGACGCACCGCACGGCTCAGATACTGACGAACTGCATCTCGGGTATGTTGGCGACATCGAACCCGACCCTAAACTTGACGCCCAGCTTCTCAAACGCGTCCGTCAAGTCCTCAACCGTGTCTGCACCGACCGTATCGCCGAACGCCTCCTCGTCGACCGTGAGGACAAACTCGTCCAAGCCGAGTTTGTGACCCTCGCCTTGTTCTTCGAGGATCTCGACGAGCGAGTCGACGATTGTATCGGGTCGGCGGTCCCAGTAGATGTACTCGACGAGTTTGACGGACGGCGGGAGGGAGCGGATGAAGCACGGCGGCGCGGCCTGTTCCGAGACCGAGAGGCGTTCGAGCCTCTTGAGAGCGGGAATGACGTCTGCGAACCATCGGTTGTGTTTGACGACGGGCGCGGGCATGTTGGATTCGAAGCGGAGTTCGCGCAAGCCCGTCAAGGCCGAAAAGTGCGCGACGACGCCTTGAGCGTCAAAGGGGTGTTCGGTGTAGACGCTGAACGAGGTGAGTGACTTGTCGACCAGTCGGAGGATGCGTTGGAAGCCTTGGGGTGAGTTGACGGTGACAGAGAGGCGCTGGATGCGGGTTGAGAGGCCCGGAGGGAGGGCGTAGTCCGTTTTGAAGGGGTCCCAGTGCGGCCGCCAGTTGAGCTCGAAGGCGTAGGTCGGGAGTGCGATGGAGCGGTAGATCTCGGCAGGTGTGAACATCAACGCTCGCCCGTCGAATTCCTCGGTCGCGTCGTACATCTTGAGGAGGAAGCACGAGAGCGAGAGTCGTTCGAGGGTGTGCATCAGCCGGTCGTGGCTGTCTCGCATGAGGGTGCGGAGTACGAGGTTCCTCAGGCTCGGGACGAGTTCGAGCGCGTCGACGAACCGGTCCGACAGCTCCTGCTGGTCTTGCTCGGACGCATGCCACTCGGGCGTCCCGTGAGCCATCCCGATCCGCGCCGACTGGCACTTGTACGCGAGGTCGGGCCTGGCCTTGGCAGCTTCGATGAAGCCGCACACCTGGTACCGCCGCGCGAGGTCGATCGAGCGGAAGAGGATGGACTGGGCGGCTTCGCGCCAGCTGCGGCAGACGAGTGACATCTCGCGCAAGCCGGGGCAGCTCGACGTGATTGTCCACGCGACGAGGTCCTCCCTGACTTCCTCTGCGTACTGGATCGGCATCCACTCGAGGATGCGGAGGAGGAGCTCTGTCGGGAGCCGGCTGGCGGGCGAGGGTCGCTCGCTCGTCGCGGGTGCAGTCATCGCGGGCGGGTTGAGGGATGATGGGAGTGGAGTGAGAGAGTGGGGATCCTTATGCGTGCATGGTTCACTGCGAGAGAGCGAGCGAGAGAGATCGTCCTGCCGACCAGCCTAACCCGCTTCATCGCTTCATCAGTGACGGGCGTCGCTGGACGCTGGCTGTCGGTACAAGCGCACCTGGCTGCTCGGCGTGGCTCAGTCTGCGTGTGTGCACTCGTCGATGGTGGTCGTTGGCCCGTGCGAGCGAGTGCGAACCAGTCGTCTCCAGCCCGGCAGAGGATCGTCTGCCGCGGTGTGCGATCCCTTCTCGTCCGCAAGGCTCCGCCCTCGCCCCTTACCGACGCTTACTAAGCCACACACTACTGTAATGCTGTGGGCACTCGCACTCGCTGCACTGGTCTCACTCGTCCTGCTCTACCGACGAACATGGACCAGCAGCGAACGGAGACGCCGGCGCGAGGTGTACGCGGACGACGATGACGCTCTCCTCCTCAACCTCGCAGAGCCCAGCACGCGATGGTTCAACATGGGCTACTGGGACACTCACACCCGCTCCTTCCCCGACGCGTGCGCACACCTGTGCCGCAGAGTCGCTCACGCTGCCCGCCTCAACGAACCGCACCACCAGCGCATCTGTGTGCGTCCCCGCGTGCTCTTCGAAATGCTTTCGTGCGACGTGTGCTCATGCTTGAGGGGTCTTGCTTGTGCTCAGGAGGTCGGCTACGGTTCGGGCGACTCGACGCTCTTGCTCGCGCGAGAGTTCTCGCCAAAGTCGTATGTCGGCTTGACTTCGCTACAGTCGCAATGCGAGACAGCCAGTTGCGTTTCCGCTGCCTAAGTCTCTCCCGGATCGTCTCTGAGCACCTTCACGCCACGCAGAACGACGAGCGGCTGAAGCAGGCCTCCCCGCCGACCGATTCCGCCTCTTGCAAGGCGACGCAGCAAGCGACCTGACCCAGTTCCCCTCCTCCTCCGTCGACGCCGTCCTCGCGATCGATTGCGCCTACCAGTTCGTCCTCTCCTTCTCCCCCGCCCCTCTCCTCGCCAACTGACTCCTCTATCCTCGGACAGCTTCAACACCCGCTCCTCGTTCCTCTCCTCCGCCCACACCCTCCTCTCACCCGGCGGCTCCCTATCCCTCACCGACCTCCTCCTCCCCTCCACCCCTCTCTCCCTTTCCTCCCTCCTCCTCCTCCGCCTACTTTTCTACCTCGCCAACGCGCCCTGGTCAAACTTCCTCACTCCCGCGTCCTACCAAGCGCAGCTTGAAGCGCACGGGTTTGAGCAGGTAGAGATGGAGGATATCAGCGAGCGAGTATGGCCGGGGTTTTGCGCGTTCGTTCGTGAGAGGGAGGAGCGGATGGGCGGGGTGTTAGGAACGAAGTGGAGGGCGTTGGGGAGGTATGCGAGGGTCGTGGAGTGGTATAGCGGCGTTGGGGGCGGGCGGCCGAAGCTGAGGTTTTACTTGGTGAGCGCGAGGAAGGCGAGAACGAAGGACGAGTGAGGTCTGAGGATGCGAAATCAAGCGCTTTCGCGATACAACAACAACCTCTGATGTGCTTCGTGCGAGAGATCTACTGCTCGTCTTTTCCCTCTTGCTTCTCAACAACCACCTTCTCCTCCCTCTTGCTTGCCCTCTCCCTCGCCCTCTCCCCAACCCACCCCTTCCGTCCCCTAACCTCCTCCACCCCCTCCCTCTCCTCCGCCCACCTAACAACCTTCCTCACCACCGCCTCACCCGGCTCGACCCTCTCCAAGCCCGTCAACTCCGCCTGCGTATGCATGACGCGCATCAGCCCGTCGATGGCGTCGACTTGGTCGAGTTTGAGGAGCGCGCGGAGGACGGTATCGAGTGTTTGAGGCTGGGTGATCAGGGATGTGCGTGCTCGAGGGGGTGGAAGGACGGTGGTGGTGGAAGAGGAGGAAGCGACGTGTGCCCGTCGGTCTGCTTCAGCGCGCAAGACAGGCGCGACGGCTCGATCGACCACCTGCATCAGCGCCGACTTGATCGACTGCATCGTCTCCTCGGTCGTCCCGCGCGCTTCAGCCGCCAAAAGCGTCTTGATCGTCAACCTCAGTACCTCGTCCGAATAAAGCGCGAAACTCCCGCTGCCCGAGACGAGTGACGTCTCTGATGCGGTGAGGAAGACGAGGTGTGCGGCGTGCCAGTCGTTCACGGCGCGTGCTTTTCGTAGGAGGCGGAGGACGGAGCGTGGGTCGGTTTCGCGGTGTGAGGGGGCGGCGGTGGGTGCGAGAGAGGGGCGACGGACGGTCTCGTTGTGTGGCATGAGGGGGAGAGTCGTGCGCTGCGAGAGGAGGAAGTTGTCGCCGTATTTGACCAGTTGGCGGACCTGCGTCTCGCGTAGGCCGACCGTCTCCGCGACTTCGCAGATCTTGGAGACCTGGTCTTCGACTTGCTCGACCAGCGGCGAGTCCTCCCACCGCCTGTGCTTCGAGCGCGGCTCTGTCTTGCGCCGCTCGTGGTCCCGCGCGACAAGCTCGGCCAAACTCGACTTGAGTAACGCCTCGAACACCTCGTACGAGAGTCGAAGTCCCATCCTCGCGGCCTGCAAGACCTGCTCCAACGCTCCGTCGAGCGATCGCAACGGCGCGCCCTCGAAAATGACCTCGACGTCCTTCGTATCGGGCAGAACGCGCTGGTCCAGCACGCGGCGGTACACTTGCGCGACCGAGTCATGGTCGCCTACGAGCGTCCACGCCTGCGCGAGCGTCGTCAAGTCGAAGTGCTCGATTTGTCCCGTCGGCGAGGCGTAAGGCGAGCGAGAGTTGGCGAGGCAGGTGAAGTGGTGGCCGATCGCGGTGCGCGCAAAGTTGCGGTTCTTGCCGTAGGGAGGGAGGGAGGTGCGGACGAGCGAGAGGAGGGCGCTAGCGCGGAGGAGGAAGGGTGAAGGTGTGCCGAGCGGATAGCGCTTCTGCCACTCGAGCACGACCCGTCGAGCGACGCTCCGCGTCGAGGCTGTCGCACCCCGCGACCCGCACAACAACTCGACCCACCTGCTGCGTTCCTCGTTCGTCCAGTCTCGACCGACCTGGCCGAGCTTGAGCTGCTCGTCCGTCGCAGCGACGAAGCGGCTGAACAGCTGAAGGCGGACGGAGCGAGCCGGACCGTCGTAACTGCGGTTCGTCGCCTCGTACGAGCTGAAGGGCGCATCGCCGGCGAGCCACTGCGCGAGCGGGTAGTGGTACCGGAGAAGCGTCCAGCCGCGAGGGGACCACGCCTGCCAGGTGTCGGCCAGGAGATCCCACCTCCGTCGCTTCCCTGCCTCAGTCGCAAAGGACGAGAGCAGGTCGGCCGTTGCGGGCGTGAGGACGGGCTTGTCAAAGTCGGAGAGGTTTACCGCCGTCCAGCGGTGCAGGAGGCGGAAGAGCGAGGCGGCTTGCTGGATCGACGACGAGGGCGACCAGGCTTGGTCGCGGAGGGTAGGGAGGTAACCGAGGTGACGCTCGTCGTGCATGCGACGGAGGAGGATACGAATGAGTGTGCGAGTATTGTCTAGGTCTGCACCGGACTCGGGGCTGGAGGTGTGGGGCGGATGTGCCGCACGAAGGGCGTCGATCGAGTGAAGCGAAAGAATGGCGAGGTCGACGTAGTCCTCCGACATGGCGATGTTCACGACAGTTCGCAGCAACACCGTCTGCAACAGCGTCTCTGCGGATACGCCCTCGACGGTCGTTGGCTGGGGCGCGACGATGTCGTCGGGAAAGACCTGGAGTAAGGAGTCGACGACGCGGAGAGCGATGGCGAGTTCGGCAGAGGACGGCGACGGCGCACTAGTCGTCGGAGCTACGAGGCGATGCACGAAAGCGGTGGCGAGGCGGAGGTGGTCGGGATGGTCGTCGAAGTTGGCGCCCGCAACGAATGCATCCCACGCCTTCTGCACGACCGCGATTGCGCCCGATTCAGCGTCGTCTGTCACCTCAGATGCGCCCTCCTGGGATACCGCGCCAGACGCCACAAACTCCTGCAGAGACTCGACCGACTTGTCAAAGTCCGCCTCAGCCGTCGTAGCCGCTCGACCCGCTGCGCTGTCCACCGCTGGCCCTGCGCTACTCGTGCGTCGCCGCCGTGTCGCTTTCGGCTCCTCGACCTCGGTCACGACCGGCAGATCGTCTGCGTGCGCAAGTGAAGGGCTGAACTCCGCTTCGTCCGCTTCAGCGACCCTCGCGGGTTCGTTCTCCTGCTCAACCTCTGCCTCTGCCTCAGCATCCCTTTTGCGCGCAGCTCGTGCTCGGTCCGACAGAACCATAGCTCTGACGAGCGGCAGATTGCTCTGCTCGGCGAGCCTAAGCACCTCGTCGAATTGCTCCGGCTGACTGACAGGCGACCCCAGTCCGCGCGCCGAGAAGTATGTCGTCAGACGCTCGAGGAGTTCGTCTGCCGGGTCTTTGGTTTGCGGCGATGATGATACCGGATTTGAAGGAGGCGGAGGCGAAGGAGTCGGCGGTCGAGGCGGGGCGTTCCGCATCCATCCTGTCCAGCCCGTAATACGCGGGTCGAACCACTTGACTTTAGGGTTCGTAGAAAAGAGTGGTGCGGTGTAATCGAGCTGGCGGACGGTTCTGGCGGGTCGCGAGGGGGAGGAAGGGGGTTGCGAGTACTGTCGGACGGTGAGGATCGAGTGCCGACAGGGTTTGGCGCGGGATGTTGAGGCGCAGGAGCACGCTGAGGGTCTTGCTAGGCGTAGCATTGCTCTGCGCACGAACAGACGCTGTTGGTGAGCCGATCGGGACCCTCTAGAGCGAGGGAAGACCAGAGGACATACCTCAACACGACAGCCTTGGGGAGACCAGCGAGCTGTCTATGCGCCTTCACAGAGTTACCAAAGGTGCAGACACCGCGAATCTGAGCCCAGCAAGCGAGAGCAGCGGGATGTCACTGGTCGAGCTGCTCCTGGCGCATCTTGGAGGAAGCCACCACCACCCGCAACCATGGGCAAGTCCGCCAAGATGTACAAGCGGCCTTCGAAGCACGGTGCGTTCGATTTGTACCCTCAAAACCGTCCCTCAAGACTCGCTGACGGTTCGCCAACTTTCATCGCTCGCAGAGAAGGGTGAGTATCGATTGGGATCCACGGCTCTGCTGGGCTCAGCTGACCTCGTACGCATCTCCTTGCAGTCGCACGACAGATCAACAAGCAGTCTGCGCCCGTTCCGCGCCGCGAGCGTTCCCTCACACCCGAAGGTCCTCGCACTGCCATCCCTCTCTTCAATGAATCCCGCCGTACATTCGTCCCTTCCAAGCCTGATCCCCGACTCGCCAAGCTCGCCGACTACGACCCCATGTCGCAAGACTCGAGTCTCGTTGGGTCGCCTGTTGCGGCTTCCGACAACGTGATGGAAGACGAGGACGGCGAGGAGCCTGTATTGGCGATGGACAAGGACGAGGAGGCACCTGCGGCGGCGGGGAAGAAGCGGAAGAGCTTGAAGGACAAGGTCAGGGCTGCGAAGGAGGCTGTCAAGGAGGACGAGCTCAAGAGTCGAGGGAAGCTGGCGGGCAAGAAGGGGAGGAAGGGCAACGTGCTCGGCAACGTCGACTACGTCAAGCTGCTCGAGAAGCGCCCGGGCAAGAAACACTTCCGGTAGACGCGGGCGGACGAGTCTTTCCTTTCGGGCCTTCTCTCTTGTTGTGTGCGTCGTTTCCTTGCGTCCTCTTCCGTACTGACTTGCGCTAACGATACCTATCTGTACAGCTGTACATTTGCGCTGCAAGCCATGCATCTTCACGCCGTCATCTTCCGCTGCGACATGCTTCGACACGCTCTGTCCGCCCGCTCCACTTCGCCTCGACTGCTCCTCCACCTTCTCCCCCTCAGTTTCTCGCCGCTCATTCGCACACATTCTCACAGCACGCCATGTTGCGCTGACGACGTGCAAGAAGGTCGAGATGGGCAACAATATGCATTTGGGAAGCCGAATGCTACAAGGCGGGGGCGCCAGGATCCAATGTGGCTGAAACATCCTTGGCGCTTGTTGCGCGACTGCAAATCGGTCAGACCTTCCACAACATGTGCTGCTGACCCGGAGTTGTGGGTCGCTCGCTTGAAGCCGCAATTTGGTCTCCAGCACCCCTCAGCAGGCGAGGATGCTTCGGCTCGACACTGTGTGTTTGCCACTGCTCGTAGGAGTAACGCAAGCAGTCTCTAGCTCTTCAGCGGCAGAACAAGCTGAAGTCGAGGAGGAGCAATCGACTCCCTCGCCTCTTCTCCCTCGTCCGCACGCTCACTCGGCTCGTCCCAGCTCGTACGCACGCTCTGAGCACTCTAGAAGCTCACCACGGCCGCCAACATCCCTGCACACGCCCGAAGCCGTCTCCCGTCTTCCCCGCCCCTCCTTCAAATCCACCCCGCCCGCATGCAACCAACACCTCGCGCCTCGACGCCAGCGAGCTCGACGACCAGTCTCGACATCTTGCCGCAGAGGGAGCTTATCAAGCTGCCACGCTGCGTCCTCTTGGGTCACTGGAGCGCGAGTACGTCCTCCTGCCTCGTACTCCCACTTGGCTCAGGCTGACCTTGCCCACTCCTCGCAGGAACGAAGGCGTTGTCTGAGGAGCTCAACAGAGGCGGGAAGGTATACCTCTTTGCGGCAGTGACGGATCTGCGAGATGCGCTGGTCGTGCTGAACGCCGCGATTCCTCCAGCCGACACCTTCGTGCGCATGCTGTTCCCGCTCTTCCTCCGAACTACTGCTGACTCTGGTTCCAATAGCTCGTCTCCTCCCTTTTCGACCCCGACGACGTCCGAGAAGCCCTGATCGAGTACGAACGCCCCATCGACCTCATCTTCGCGCCAAAAGACTACATGAACATCCACGGCATCATTCAAAGCGCGCGGTGGGTCGAGGAGCAGGTCGAGAACAAGGCCTATGCGCAACGACATGCGGTGTCGACGGGCGCGTTCTTGCAGGGTGGGAGTCGCTCGCCTATTCTCGACACGGGCTCGCTCGACCCGAGTCTGGATCCGACGATTGCGGCGCCATAGAGCGCCCTAATTCCCTTATACCTATTAGCTGCATCACCGCATACCAGCATTGCCTTCCTCCCTCTTCCCTCTCTCGACTGTTGTAACAACTGTTCTCTCGCGGATCTCGCTGGCGAAGCGGGCGTTCTGCTCGCGAGAGGCGAAGGAGGAAGCGTAACAAAGAAGCCTTGCAAAGATACGTACAACAAAAACTGTAAGCAACGCATGCAGACCTTCAGAAATCTACTTCTCCCCGTTACCAATCTTCAATCTCGCCCTCGCCTACTTCGTAGCCCTGACCATCCTCGCTCGACTCTCCACCTCACCTGCCATCGTGCGTCCTCTCCCCTTCTCACCCGCTCGAGCGAGCCGTGAGGAGGAGGAGACGACTTTCTTGCTGGTCGAGGCGGAGGATGCGGACTTCTTGGCGGGAGAAGAGAGAGGGAGGTTGGGGCGTTTGGTGATGGCTGGTGGTTGCCATGATGAGGAGGAGGAGGCGGAGGCAGCAGTGGAAGGGAAAGAGAGGGTTGGCGCGAGGTTGGTGAGCGGTGCGAAAGGCGTAGAGGATTTAGGCGCGGGGCTAGTAGGCGAGAGCGACGCATTCGGCGCGACGCTGACGGGCGCCGCAGCGCTCGACGTGTCGCCCTGGGCCGCGGGCGCCTTGACGTGCCCAAGCATCGACGGGTTCGCCACCCTCGCCGACACCTGCCTGCTAACTCCCGGTGCAGCCCTCGCGACAGCCGGCGACGACCCAGCCTGACCCGTCTTCCACGCCATAGGTCTCCTCAAACTCTCCTGCAAGTCAAACTTCTTCCACCCGGGCTGCTTCTTCGGGCTGGGAGAGGCGGCGTTGGGCTTGGCGGCCGAGAGGGCGCGGGCGGATGTTGATGCCGTAGGCGCGGCGAAGCGAGGGGTGCGGGCGGGAGAGGGGAGGGGCTTGGTCGGTCTGTCGGTTGCGAGACGGCGAATGGACGACGTCGAGGGCAGAGGAGGACGCGGTGCGGCGGTCGGAGGGGCAGTAGGAGGCGCAGGAGCGGAGGCGAGTTTGCGGAACGTCTTCTTCAGGAAGCCACTGGCAGAGAAGGAAGGCGGTTTCGCTGTGTATACACTGTCAGCTCGCGTTGACGGAGAAGGATGAGAACGCACGCACGTCCAACGCCCAAGCTAGGCCTCCTACGCGACAGACCGACCCCAGTTCCGGCCTGGCTCTTCCGCCTCGCCTTCGCCAGTTCAAGCTGCCTGCGCCGCTGCTCGCGCTCCTTCTCCGCGACTGGCTTCAAATCCTCCCTCATCTCCTTCGCGCGAGGACGGCCAGGGCCGCCACTTCGCACGGACGCCGAGAGCGAGACGGAAGTGGATGCAGCAGGAGCGGCGGACCAGCCTTCGTCGCGGAGAGCGTTGACGAGATGGCGATTCGAGGTGGACGACGGTAGGCGATTGAGGGTCGAAGAGATGGAGCTTGACGCCTTGAGACGCTTGTTGGGCCGCTCAGTCGAGGTGGAGGCGGTCAGAGTGCGAGAAGAGGTCGAGCGGGCCATGCCAGCGATGTTGCCGGACGAAGTGGACGTCGAAGGGTGCGGTCGCTTCGCCGCCCAATGGTTCGTGATCGAGTCCATCTTGGCAAAGTTGCGCTTGTGGTGGACGTCAAAAGCCTGCTTGCTGCCCTTCTCGGGACTTGGGGCAGTCCCCTTCGACTTGCCGGTGCCGAAGAGGGTAGTGCGCAACCGTGTCAGCCCGTCAGCCTCCGCTGCTGCGCGAGCTTCCGCCACTCGTCGGTTCATCTCCTCCATAATCTGCTCGGCGGCGGACTTGCCCGCGTCCATCGAGTCGGGTGCCGGAGCTGCTGTCGCCTCCGAGGCGGTGGAGCTGGTCGAAAGAGCGCCCGGCATGGAAAAAGTGAAGGTGGAAGTCGGCGCGGATGGAATTGAGGCTGGGGGAGGCGAACCGAAGACGAAGGCAGGCGGGGACATCGGAAGATTGGGGACAGGAGGAGCGGGTTCGTCGCCAGCTTCTGATGTCGCCTGATGGAGGGTCGATCGGGAAGAGACCATGCGGATGCCGTCTTCTCCGTCCATGTCGGCATCCATCGAAAAGTCCCGGTCGGCGGATGTGTCGGAGATGGGGAGAGATGGGTAAACGAGCGAGGCGAAGTCGTTCCCTTCGGCTGAACTCTTCGCTCGAAGGGTAGGTATGGTCGATCTGAGCGAGTCGGAAGCGTAAGAGGATCCTGTACTGCTGGTCGAGGAAGTCGAAGGGACGCCTGTACCGCGTTGAGGAGGTCAGCGAGGTACAGCAGACGAAATGAGCAAGCGGCGCACCTAGCACGGGTTCCGCAGAGCCAGTAGACACTCCGTGGTCCCTCACCACTGCCCAAGAAGCTGTCGAAGCGTCTCCTTCCTCCAGCACATCCTCATCAGTTGGTTGAGTGATCCAACGGCCATGCTCCTGCAAGCGGGCGATAATTTCTATGTTCTGAGGAGAGTCTTGAGTCAGTCAGAGCTCGTACGAGTCAGCGGGCACCGCACCTTGCCGGACGCCTTGACACCGAACGCCTTGGCGAGCGAGACGAGTTGAGGCCGTTTCAGCGCGTGAAGAGCGGCTTCGTTGGACAGGATGGCGATCTCAGGAGACGTATTCTCCGTTGTCTGAGCCATAGCGAGCAGCAGTGCGTGGCCAGCGGTGGTGGTGTGTGCTGAGAGGGAGAGGAGGGAAGGATCGCTCGAAGAAGCGAAGGTCGGCACGTCCGTCATTTTCCGCGTCAGCATCTGGTGGAACGATATCTTAGCTGCTGTAACCGGGCAAGGCTTTGAACAGGACTCGCGCCGGACGAGGAGCGAGACTGCAGCATTTCTCGAGCAAGAGGAACAAGAGCTCTCCCTAGTATTCTGCTGCTTATACACTCAGTTACACGCAATTCCTGCAGCTTGCAGCAGCAGCCAGTACCCATCGGTACCTCACCAAGGCGCCACCGAGCCGTCAACGTCGAGGAACTTGCCGTTGTCCGCCTTCGTGACCTTGCGAATGACGTTCTCGACACTGTTGCCCGTCGTTGCCGCACCGTCAGCTTGTTCGAATCGCCGCAAGCAAGAGCAAGGCAGACGGACCCGAGCTTGACCGCCTGTTCGACGTCCATGTCGCCGTATCCTCCCGTCCTGTCTCGCGAAGCCAGGTGAGCCTCAGGGAACTCTAGTGCGAGTGCCGAGCGTGACACTCACAGGTCGGTCTTGACAAACCCGGGACTGTACATGACGACCGTGAAGCCCTCCTGCACCGAAAGGAGAGTCAGCCAAGCCGGTACGAGTGAGAGAAGCAGCGAGAATCACCCACCTCCTTGAGCTCAACCGAGAGCTTGCGCATGTACATGTTGAGAATCGTCTTGCTCATGCAATACTGGCGACCGGACGCGAGAAGGGAGGAAGGCGCCGGGACGTCAGCGTTTGAGCAGACTGAGGACGGCGGACTCTCGCTAAACTTACTGCCGTGTATAGCGAGTTCTCGCTGAAGAGCCCGCCGAGCGATCCGACTGTCGACGAGACGGCAAATATCTGCTTGGCCTGTCCCTTGCGAAGGAGGGGAAGGGATGAGGTCACGAGGTTCATGACTCCGTAAAGATTGACGTTCAGGTTTGCCTGGACCAGCTCGGGTGTGCTGTACGCAGTCAAGAAAGTCAGGCGAGGTAAGACAGATGTGAGGGAAGGACGCACGTTTCGGACGGCGGAGGGAGAGCGTTCGATATGCCAGCGTTGGCGATGAGGGTGTCCAGTCCGCCGTCGCCCAAGAAGCCGCTCGACTCGAGATCAGCGAGAGCGTTCTGTCGTCGTCCTACGTAAGCACACTTTTGACATGGAGGGAAAGGAGCAAAGGCGCGCCTTCACCTCGACCGCGTTTTCAACGTCGAGCTTGAGGAGATGAAGCCGTTCGTTGCCGAAATCGTCGACAAGGGATTGAAGGTCGATAGCAGAAGACGGGTTCCTCACGCCTGCAATGACCTTGGTTTGCTTCGAGGACGACAAGAGGTAGCGAACGAGTCCAAGCCCGAGGCCGCGGCTGGTGCCCGAGATAAGGTAAGTATGAGGCATGGGTGCGAGTTGGTTGGCCTGGAGAAGGAGGGTGGAGAAAGAAAGAAAGAAAGCAGCGAAGCCTGGGGGACAGAGGGAGGAAGAGGAGTGAGAGTGAGTGGAGGCTTACTCATCCTGCTTACGCTGTCCGGCCTTCGGACGCTTCGCCGTTCAACGAAGACGCAAAAGCCGCAAGCGAGATAACTTGCCCAGGGAAGGCGAGAGAGGATGAGAGAGTATGAGCTAGGGAAGTCTAGGAAGGTCAAAGAGAGTGAGAAGGACTATCTCACAGCAGCTCCTCGTGAGATGCCCAGGGCAGCTCGCGCATGTCTACAAAATCGACAACGTCGGGGCGGCAGACGAGCGGGCACGCTGCCGTGAACTTCGAGTCTTCCTTGCAGGTCGTTTGCCCGGTCGGCTTTCTACCACGGGACGATCTTGCCGTTGTAGTCGTAGAACTTGCCGTTGTCCTCCTTGCTGACCTTGAGGATGACGTTATCGACCCTGGGGAGGCAAGGAAGTCAGGCGCGCTCACAACGAGGAATGGCGGAGTGAGCAGCGGCCAACGCACGCAAGTTTGACGGCTTCTTCGGTTGTGAGCTCGCCCTGACCCTTGTTCCTGCAAGTGAGAGTGGAGCGTTAGAAGGAGACGAAGGAAGTCGGACTTGACGGTGGACTTGCATGTCCCTGCGTCCAAGAGGCTTGTATCAGTTCCCGTACGAGGCACGAGCTGAATGAGCCGACTAACGTCTTGACGTAGCCAGGGTGGTACGGCACCACCGTGAAGCCGTCCTGCAGGAGAAGCGATTCCGCATGAGCAGGAAGAAGCAAAACAGGCGACGGAAGCGGAGCGTACCAACTCGAGCTCGCGCGAGAGCTTGCGGAGGTACATGTTGAGGGCAGCTTTGCTAATGCAGTACTGTGGGATGCGCGCGGCAATAGTCAGCAGGAAGAAGGGGAGGAAGGAAAGGACCGAGGACAGCGGGAGCAACCCGAAATTCGAGGAGAGTGGGAGCGACGAGGAACTCACGGCAGTTGCGAGAGAGTTGTCGCTGAAGTATCCGCCGAGCGAGCCGCAGATGGACGAGACGCCAAAGATTTGCTTTCCCTTGCCCTTCTTCAAGAGCGGGAGGCACGCAGCCGTGAGGTTCATGACTCCGAAGAGGTTTGTCGTGAGGTTCTGCATGACGAGGTCGGGCTTGCTGTATAATAGAGAGGTATCAGCTGACGACCAAGCAGCGAGAGGGAGTGGAATCTAGCAGCTTACGTCGCGGAAGGAGCATCGGGAGCGACAGCAACGCCGGCATTGTTGATGAGCGCGTCGAGGCCTCCCGACTCGAGGAAGCCGCTCGACTCGAGCTCCTTGATGGCGTTCTGTACGAAAAGGAGATCGGTTAGCGGAGTAAAGTAATAAGGGGTCGAGGAAGACCTCGGCGCACCTGGACAGCGGAAGCATCCTCTACGTCCAGCTTCAGGATGTAGAGCCTCTCCTTCCCGACCTCCTTCTGCAATGCCTGAAGCTGATCCGCCGAGGAGGGGTTGCGTGCGCCTGCGATGACCCTGACGTTGTTGGACGAGGCGAGGAGGGCGCGGGAGTAGCCGAGACCGAGCGAGCGGGATGCGCCAGAGATCAAGTATGTGAAGGACGACATTCTAGGGGACAGCACGTCTTGCAGCGAGGTGAAGGAGAGAGACCAGCGGAGACGAGTTCGGCTCCACCTCCACCTCGACCCTCGAGCAGTGCCGAACCCCGACTGCGCCGTGAGCATCGTCGCAGGACAGCTCGGAGGTTTCCTTCGGCATCGACAGCGACGACGGAAAGCGAAGTGAGCCGCGCGAAGCGGGAAAAGGGTTACAACGGAGCGCCAGCGGAAAGAGCGAAGAGGGTATGAGACTGGATTTGGGTGTGTGGATATCTACAGTGGGTTGTTTGGCGAGTCCAGCTCAAAGCGGCGGCGCTGGGACAGGCGGCCGAAAGGTAACAGGGTGGTGGCAGAAGAAGGGTATGCGTATCGTCGGCGAGCAAGCGATGAGCGAGGGGAAGCGGTAGGTTGGTTGACGAGGGCGGGAGACGCGAAGAGGAGCGTTGAGTCGAGTCGAGTCGAGTCGGGTCGGAGGTCATCGTCGCGGCAAGTCGAGGGCGGCGCCTTCCCTCCTCAACTCCTCCAGCTCGATGTCCTCCTCGTCCTCTCCGCCCAACTCGAACATCACCTCACAGCTCGACCGTCTCTTTCGGTCAGACCGCTGCTCATCACTCGACACGCGTCGCACATCTCCCGCCGCCTCATCCTAGGGCCTATCATCGTCCGTCTCCTGCCTGACCGACTGGTAATCCCTGATCCTCGGCGTCGTCGGCCTACTTCCTCCTCGACTGCTCCCGCCCTGACTACCGCTCCACCACCCACGAACAGCCTCGACGCCGTCGCTCCCTCGGCCGGGCAAGCTCGCGCCACTGAGCGTCCGCTTGTGGTTCCGAGGGTAGGGCGGCTCGACGTGGTCGGCGTGCGAGTGAGGACGGCCGTGGCGGAACGTCGGAATTGAGTGCGAGCGCCGCAGCGGCGCGTGCTCGCCTTCTTCGTCGGAAGTCGGGAGGAGCGGGTGTCGAGGTTGGTCGCCGAAGAGTTCGTCTGCGCACCGGGACGCTGTTAGCGGCAGGCTCAAGTTTACGATGACGGCGCACTCACCCATCTCCTCGAGCGGGACGCCCATCGTCTCCGGATACGCGAAATAAACGAGGATGAACGAAAAGACGCAGAACCCGGCGTGCATCGGGTACAGTCGCCACTCGATCGTCTCCTGCAAGATGGGCGTCGCTTCGCCAACGACGTAGTTGCTGAGCCAGTTGGCGGCGGTCGAGAGCGAGACACCTTTGACGCGGAAGGCGTTCGGGAGGATTTCTGCGCGCAGAGAGCGCAAGGCAAGTTGTCAGCTACTCGCGCTGTTTCCGGATGGAACAGGAGGACGAACCCGCTGGGTAGAGCCAAGGGATAGCTGCAGTCAGGCACGACGAGGGGGCAATGGGAGGGGAAGAGGCACAAGTCCGGGTCAGGAGGCGGTCCAGCGCGGATAAAGCGAGAAAAGGCGAACGTACGGCCCCAGCTGAATCCGAACGCGGCGTTGTAGATGATGACGCAGCCGACGACGGCGTTGGGCGTGTAAGGCGCGTCGAGATAGAGGAAGAAACCGACGAGGGTGAGCGCAACGGCCATCGTCTGCAAGACTCGCAAGGTCAGTACAGTCGACGAACGTGTAGACCGACCCGTGTACGCACCGCTGCACCGCTTAGGAGGATCGGTCGCCGTCCGAGGGTGTCGACAAGGTACCAAGTCGGAACCGTACTCGCGATGTAGACTGTGCGGTCGGGACCTTTCTCCATCAGCACGGCACGCATACCTACTTGCGAGCGCAGAGTCACGGATGAGCAACGACGCACCGATACTATTGATTCCCGTCATGAGGATCGCGTCGCGCCCAATCCAGCCCGCTTGTTCGAAGACCAGCGGGGCATAGTACGAGATGACGTTGATGCCGTTCTGCAAGGGAGCTAAAAGTCAGCCAGCTGCAGGCTAGGAAGGAAGGACGCGGGACGCGCAAGTTGCGCGCAGAACTGCGCCGACATCGCGATGAGCACGCGGTACTTGTAGCGCCGCCACATCGCCTTGTACGTGCGGTCGCCGAACTCGCGCTGCGTGCGGAGGCGAGGGTCTAAGCTCGGGAAGGGAGGAAGCTGAGAGCGAACGTACCTCGGCGAGGACGCCTTCTTTGATCTCACGGAACTCCTCCTGGGCCTGTACACGCCGACGAACGGGCGTAGTCAGCGCGATTGACGGCCTGACGACCTGACGGTCCCGCGCGGCGCGCAACTCACCCTCTCATCCTCCGGGTCCCCATCCCCATGCAAATCCGCCAACACCCCCATCCCCTCCTCATCTTGTTCCGTATCGATCAACCACCTCGGCGACTCGGGGAGGAAGAGCGTGCCGATCGCGAGGATGATGCCGATTACGGACTGCATAAGGAGGGGGAAGCGCCAGGAGAGGTCTGAGGTGATGTAGGAGGCGAAGTAGTCGATCCACTGTTTTCGTAAGAGCGTTGTTAGAGCGGAGGGGAGGCGATGGGCGGAGTGAGTTGGAAGGGAACGCACGACACTCGAGGCATAGCCGAAGATGTTGCCCTGCAGAGGTGCGGCGCAGACGGATCAGTCTCTACCGGCGAGAGAGATGCTCGCCAAGCAACACCCGCCAACGCACCGTGAACTCAATGCACCCCAGCCTGCCGCGGTTCTCAGCCGGACTGATCTCGCTCTGGTACACCGGGACACACATGCTGAGGAACCCGACTCCAAAGCCTGACAGGATGCGCCCGAAGACCATCATGCGGAAGCCGGTCGTGAAGGCCTGGAAGAGCCCGCCCAGAGAGAAGATGCATGCCCCGACGAAGATGGTTGCGCGACGGCCGAAGATGTCGCCTACTCGACCGGCCAGGAGGGAGGTGACTGAGATCGGTGACGAGGGCGCAGGTGAGACGACAGATGAGGGGATCGGGTGAGGATGCGGAGGTAGAGTAGCGAGCGGAGGCGGAACGGAAAGGCAAAGAGAGGAAGGTCAGGTCCCCTTCCCCGTGAGTTAGCGAGAGGAGCCGGGACGCACTGAGGGCCCCAATCTCGAGGATAGCGACTGTGCGAGCGTTGTCAGCACCTACTTGACGTCGAGACGCGTTGCTCTCGAGCCAAGAAAGACGAGGAGCGCACCCATGGTCGCCAATTCGACACGGCTGGGCTGGTGGAAGTACGACCTGAAGAACGGGTTCGTGATGAGCCCCGACATGACGCCCTGGTCATAGCCCTATTTGCCGTTCCGCGGGCAGATTAGCAACCCTCTTTTGACGGAACTCGGCCAAGGACGGGCGAACGTACGAAGAGGAAGACGCCGAGCGAGGCGAAACAGCTGATTGCGAGGACGAGTCTCCTCGAGCTGCCCTCCTTGATTGTTGGCTCCATCGCTGGCTGTTTCTCCCTGGTCTCTCGGTGGTCCTCGAGGTCGGCCGGACGGTGAAAGTGGGGGAACGAGGTCGTCGCGCGAGATGGGAGCGGTTCGAGTGCAAGCAGCGAATGTCAGAGCGAGTGTCGGGTGTAGCTAGGCAGTCTTAGCCACTGCAGAGCGCGTCCTGAGCCAGCGAAGTGCGATGAAGGAGCGCGAGAAGGTGACGGGCGAGAGTTGGCAGCGACAACACGCTGGCAAGTGCTGCTTGGGCCGGATACGCTGCTAGAGAGACTGCCAGGCTAGCTAGGATGGCCACACTCGCGCTGCAACAGGCGCAGCAGCCCGTCGAGCCCACCCTCACCGTCCTCCTCTCGCTCGCGATCGCAGTCCTCGCCTACCGCACCGTCGCAGCGCTCGTGCCGTTCCTCGCCAATGACCTCGTCAGCAAGGGCCTGAGAGGAAGGGACATGCTCAAACCTGGGTTCAAGCGGGACGACGAGACGCCGGCTGTGGACGACGGAGCAGGAGGAGGAGTGGTGGACGAGCCAGGGACCCAATGGCTGTGAGTGGAGGACGTCTGCCTAAGCAGAGTGTGCTAACTGACCTGGGGACACCCGCATAGACCCGAAGCGACGGGCGTCATCGGCGCATCCGTCTACATCCTCCTCCTCTCGCTCTTCGCCCCGCTCCCTTACATCACCTCTCTCCTGCCCGACTCCCTCCTCCCTCCCTCCGCCAAGTCCACCCTCCCCATACTGAACACCACAACCCCGCTCATTCTCCCCGCCGACGACCCCTGCTCCGCCCTACTCCTCGAAGGAAGCCTCTCATTCCCGCACCACTCGTTCGCGACTTACCTCGCCAGCTTGCTCAGTCTCCTCATCGCGACGTTCCTCGGATTCTGCGACGACGTGTTCGACATCCGATGGCGGTTCAAGCTGCCCATCCCTCGTGAGTGTTCGCTCCTTTGGCCCTCTCAGTCTACACAAATTGACGCTTCTCTGCACAGTCATCGCCTCTGTGCCACTACTCGTCACCTACGCCGCGGGTCACGGCATAACGGACGTTGTTCTTCCCAAGCTGTTCGGCTTGCGCGAGCTGCTCGGCGGAGTCGCAACGAACGGGGTTGTGCACCTGGGTAAGTGACCGGAGTTCGCTTGCTACAGACCACCTGCTGATGGCTGACGGATTTGTTGCATGACGGAATGACTCTTTCCAGGCCCACTCTATTACCTTTACATGTCGATGCTCTCGACGTTCTGCACGAACAGCATCAATATCCTCGCGGGCGTCAACGGTGTCGAGGTGCGCTTCTCGCTCATCATTAGATTGCTCCTGTGTCGACACGTCTCGCTGCAGGTCGCCCAAGCACTCCTCATTGCCCTCTCAATCATCGCCAACGACCTCCTCTACCTCACTTTCTCGCTCTCCCCGCTCGTCCCGCTGCTGCGCTTCCTTCCCGCGTCAATCCGAGCATTTCTCCCGCCAGCGGATGAGCTTACCCAGCGAACGTGGACGTTCGGCTTTGCGCGCGGCAGCCAGGAGTTGGCGGACCGGCATCTGTTCAGCCTGTACTTCATGCTGCCGCTCGTCGGCGTCTGCCTCGGTCTGATCAAGCACAACTGGTGCGTACTATGCTCTGGACACACGAATAATGGCTCACTTACGGACCCACGCAGGTATCCGGCCCGCGCGTTCGTCGGCGACACGTTCTGCTACTTCACGGGCATGTCGTTCGCGGTCGTCGGCATCCTCGGCCACTTCAGCAAAACACTCCTCCTCTTCTTCCTCCCCCAAATCTTCAACTTCCTCTACTCGGTCCCACAATTGTTCGGCCTCGTTCCCTGCCCGCGACACCGCCTGCCGCGACTCGACAAGAAGACAGGCAAGCTCGTCAACTCGTGGGCTGTGCTTCCGCCTCCTTCGCAGCGGTGGAGTCGACACAAGATCGGTGTGGCGCTCTTGCGCGCCATCGAGCCCCTCGGGCTCGTTGGGCTGCAGCGGGACCCGTCGACGTCCGAAATCACCGCCTGCACGAACCTCACCATCCTCAACCTCCTCCTCCTCCGACTAGGATCGGTCAGGGAGGACAGGCTGACGAAGCGGTTGATGTGGTGTCAGGTCGCGGGCAGTGTGGTTGCGTTTGCAGTGCGGTATGGCGCGGGTCGACTCGTGTATCCCGACGGGGCGAGGCAGTAGGGGCGTTGTTCATGCTCAATAGACGTCTGTGATTTGTTCGCGAGACGCAGAGGAGAGAGATTAGCGAGGACTTGACTTTGCGACGTTGGACTTGGTTTGCACGGCGAAGTTGGCTTGGACCTGCTAGTGGGTCGTCTCGCTCTCTCGCTGCTGCCATGCTTCTCACTCGCACGCTGCGTACTCTGCCACGCGCTCAGGCGTACAATGCGATCCGCACGCTGTCCACCGGCGCGCCCGACATCCAGCGGTTGACCGTCTTCGGCGGGGGGTTGATGGGAGCCGGTATCGCTCAGGTCGCGGCGCAGGCGGGTCTCAAAGTCGCGATCGCAGACTTGTCGGACGAGGCGCTCGAGAACAGGTGCGTCCAGCGAGTCCTTGCGGCGTACGCGTGAAGTGGGGTCGGCTACTTCGACTCCCGATGGGAAGTGGTCTTCTCTCGACGCGCACTGACTGGATCGACTCGTACACAGTCGCAACATTATCACAAAGTCCTTGACCCGCATTGCGCGCAAGAAGAACCCCGACGACTCGGCAGCCCAGAAGCAGTTCGTCGACGGCGTCTTTGCCAACCTCACGACAACCACCTCTGCGCAAGAAGCGATCGCCAATTCGGACCTGGTCATTGAAGCCATTGTCGAGAACTTGGCGACCAAGCAGGAGCTGTTCCGCAGGCTGGACGGCATGGCGGACCCGAAGACCATCTTCGCCTCGAACACAAGCTCTCTCAGCATCCGGAAGATCGCTGAGGTCTGCTCAGACGACAGGCGAAAACGCTTCAGCGGCGTGCACGCGTTCAATCCGTGAGTCTCGCTCTCTTTTGCACCGGGCTCGAGGAGTTCGTCAAGTGGTCTCGCGCAGGAGCGATCTCAGGCGGCCGCCTTCGGCTTGTCCCTCTTCGTTCTGCGCCCTTACACATTCCTTACCGCCCGCAGAGTACCGCAGATGAAGCTCGTAAGCTCCCCCAGTGATTCTACGAGAGGACACGGAGGGAACGGAGTCTGGTGACGGCGGATCTGACAGACACTTGCTGGGATGGCAGTATGCTCGATACTGACCGCTTGTTGTCTCTCTTCGCAGATCGAGATCATCTCGACGACCGAGACTCAGCCGGAAATCACGGAGGCTCTTCTCGACCTTTGCAAGCGGATGGGCAAGACTCCGGTTCAATGCGCAGATACCCCGGGGTGAGTTGGCTGGCTCAGACCGTCTGATAGTCATACATAGACACTGCACGGTGTTCGCTGACCTCCGGCTTACGGCAGATTTATCGTCAACCGCCTCCTCGTCCCTTACCTCCTCGAAGCGATCCGCATGGTCGAGCGCGGCGACGCGACGGCGGCGGACATCGACACGGCGATGAAGCTTGGTGCTGGTGTGCCCATGGGTGCGTCGAGCGCGAGTCTGGAGGTTGAGAAGGTCTGGCGAAGAAACGCTGACGGTCCTGCTTGAAACCACGTTGCGCCGTTGACACAGGTCCTCTTGAGCTCTCCGACGTACGTACTACCCTTTCGGCCTCGCGCGAATGGCTCGAGCCTCTCGCTTTCTGCGCTCATATCCTTCTGCTTCCCCTCTCGCAGTTCGTCGGCCTCGACACCCTCTCGCACATCGCCCGCGGTTGGCGCGAAGAGCGCGTCCAGACGGGCGAGATCGACGCCAAGCAGGTCGAGGAGATCAAGATCCTCGACAAGCTTGTCGCCGAGGGCAAGAAGGGCAGGAAGAGCGGAGAGGGGTTCTTCATCTGTGCGTTCAGCTCTCTGGTGTTGCTGCTCAGCCATCGGCGATTATATCAAGCTCGTCGATGCCTGTTCTCGTGCATTCCCAAGATTGCTGACGATGTTCCACGCGCAGACTCGTCGTAAGGAGCCTCGCCTCGACGCCCTGCAGTCCTCTCTCGCCCTCCCGGACCTTCCTCTCTCTCGACCCGTCGTCTCGCACCTACAGTACAGAAGAGTCACGCAATACAGCTGTCGTTTGTCCCGTTGTTGCGACTTGCTCGCTTTTCCAGCGAGTCTTTCCGCGTCTTCCGTTATCCGTCCCAAGCCTGCCCACACGCTAGAGCGTCAAAGATTGTCAGATGGAGCAGAGCCAGCCCCATCTGATTCGACTGACTTGACCTCCTCCTCGTCGAGTCGACCCTTGCATCCTCGCTCTTCACACCCGTCACAAGCTGACGATGGCTACCGGCTCATTCGCTGCTTCGTTGGCTCAGCTGACCGGCCTGGGTACGCCCAGCTCGCCGCCACGTGCCGACACCAGCTCACGCTCCTCATCTCCCCGCAGACGACGAGACGGCGCGGACACAACTTCTGCCGCACCTGGACTCGCTGAAGTCGCAGGCAGAGATCAGGAATTACCTAGACGTGCGTACGAGCTCTGCGTGACCCGCTGTACGCTGTACTGACTCTCTCTTCTCCTCGTCGACTCGGACTCGATGACGCCTCCACCGACCCTACAGTCGCTCCTCGCACCGGGAACCGCCGCTCAGAGCTTCACAAACTCCTATATCGCCCACCGCTTCCCCTCGGCTTTGTCCCGACCCTCCTCCTCATCCCGTCAAGGCTGGGCAACTCCCTCATCCTCTCGCCCTTCTCCCACCTCTTCTCGCGCTCCCTCCGAAGACCGCCGCCGATCGCAGAACCTTGAACGAGTACTTGCGGCTGCACCGAAGGGAGGGAAGGTGTACATCAAGACGAAGGAGGAGGATTTGGATGGATGGGGAGGGGTGAAGAGCGGGAATAGGAGCGTGGGGAATAGTCGAGCGGGTAGTCAGACGAGGAGTGCGGGAGGAGCGTCGGGTAGCGCGCATGCGGCACCCGTACCCTCGCCGCTTCGACCAGCACCGCCTGCCGCCTTGTCTCCCTCCGCTATGGCACCTCGACACGCCCAACAACCGCAGCAGAAGGGCAAGGGGAAAGCGCAGGAGCCAGAACTGGAGCTGTCGGAAGAGGCAGCGAAGGAGTTGTTGCGGATCGAGCGCGAGCTGAGGAGCTTTGAGCCCAAGAAGGCGGGTGCGAAGTCGAGGGTCTGCTTCTGTCAAGGTGCGTGTCAAAGTTCGATCCCCTATCGTCTCAACCTAAGCAGGCTGTCGAGCTGATCTCGGGACTTGACGTACGTACAGCCCGCCAACACCCTCTCTCGACCTACATCCCCCTCTGCCCCCGCTGCTCCCTCGTCCTCTGCTCGCTCAACCTCCCCTCCGCGCCCTGCCCGTCCTGCTCTCACGGTCCTCTCCTTTTCTCCGCCCTCACCGCCTCTCACATCGCGACCCTCCAATCCGCTCGTGAGACCCTCCTAGCTCGCGAAAAGCGCCGCGCCCAAGCCGAGCGCGAACAAGCGGAGCGCGAACGAGCTGCGATTCGCTTTCCTGAGCTTGGGATGGACGTACAGCGTGCGCCGTTGCCTGGAATGGGGCCGAGGAGCTATGCGGGACATGCGGGTGGCGGGATGAGCATGTCGGATAGGATTGACCGGGCGTACGAGGCGCGACATGCAGCTCAGACGGAGCATATGTCAGCCGGCGCAGAAGGAGGTGGGAAGGTGTTGCGGCTGGACGGCAAGACGGGCAAAGTCAAGGTGCAGAAAAAGGTTGCAAAGCCTTCGACAGCTCGAGGCGGCAAGACGACCTTGACGGAGGAGACGGTTGCTGTGGTCGACCCGGAGGACGACGACGGGCTCATCGCCTGGATCGACGAGGACGACGACGGCGTGCGTGGCGAGCGCGCCTTGCGCTCTCTTCAAGCGGAGGAGATCGCAGGGCGCACGGTGCCGGACGACCGGCCGTTCCTGAACGTCACGCTGGACGAGGACGAGCGACCTGTGTGGACTCCGCCAGCCGAGGCAGATGAAGGAGAGGCTGCGGAGGAGGCAGGCGACGCGGGAACGGCTGATGCGGCTTCTTCGGCGCCGGCGTCGGTCGCCAAGCCCGCTGTACCCGGTGCACCAGTCGCGAAGGACGAGTCGAACGGCAAGAGGAGGCGCGGGAGGGGCGGCAAGGGCAAGGACAAAGCGGGAGGAGCGGCAGCGGAGTAGACGGCGATTGCAACCCTCGCCTCGCGGCGGTTCCGCATGCACTTCCGGAATTGTACGAGCCTACACAACGCTACCAGCGAGCCTGCAAGCGAACGAGCGGTTGTAAGCTGGTTCGATCTCTTCCATTCCGTCCGCGGTTCTCCTCCTTCGCTTCGCTCTTCCCGCTCAACATGGCTTTCCGCGCTTCTACCCGCTTGCTAGCTGCCTCCATTCAGGGATTGAGCCCTTCCCAGACGTCTGAACTCGCCAAGGAGCTGTTACCACCGCTCATCTTGTACCGCCGGCTGCTGAGGGTTCATCGCAAGGTGCTCCCACCAGAGCTGCGCATCATGGGCGACGACTACGTCAAGGCGAGTCTCACGCTCTTTTCTACCACCTGCACACCCGGCTGACCCGCTTCGTTGCGTTGCCGCCGCTCCATCCGCCACTTCCTCCCGATCCCTCCCTCTCCACTCGCCCGCTCGTCCACCCACAGTCCGAGTTCCGCCGAACACGATCTACCGACAACCCTCTACACATCGTCGGGTTCCTGAGCGAGTGGAAGAAATACCTCGACCACCACGAGGCGCTGGCGAATGGAGCGAAGGGCGCAGAGCTGGAGAAGGAGGTTGGGCAGAAGTTGGATCCGAGTATACTGGAGACGGTGAGCAGCGTTCTATTCGAGCGGAGACCTTCGGAGGAGCGCGCGGTCAAGCTGGACGAGCTGACCTTGCTCCGTCCTTTCTCTTCTCCCTCTGTCTCTCTGCTTTCTCCCCTTGTCCCTTTCTTCGATTGTCACTCTCGTCTATCGGCTTCTCCCTTCTTCAACAACGCGCTCAACGCCTCCCCACGATCCCATCCGCACGCGCAGCTCTCCGCCGACCAAATCGGCCAACTCTACGAACTCTTCCAAGCCTCGCAAGACGTCTGGCTCTCACCCGAAGAACTTGAGGCGAAACTCGCGGCCGAGGGGAAGACGGAGGAGGGCATCCCGGCGGGACAGGTGTTGCCGGATTTGGGGAAGAGTCGGTTGGGAGGAGGGGAGGGGGAGGGGCGGTAGTGAGAGGGAAACGGACGATGAGCGGGATAGAGCGACTGTCGCAATGCATGGCACGACATCGCCGTATGATCGTTGACGTCCCCACGGTCCGGAATCGTGAGGAAGTCACGAGAAAGCCAGCTGAGGCGTGTCGACCTCATTCGAGCTCTGCGAACCGAAGAGAGCCGATACCTTAGTGCGAGAAGCGCACGAGTGCAGGACCGCTGGAGAGCGTTGGCGGCGCAAAGAGTGAGGGGAGCCAATAAAGAAGACATAGCCCGTTCGCCGTTCAGTCGCGGCACTCGAAGGAGTAACTCCAGCACGCAGCCCTATCTCCCCAGACAGGCACGCAGCCTCGTCACAACGACGGTCCATGTCGTACACACACCACTCGGATTCGCAGCCCCTCGTCCGCTGGGAAGACTACGAACCGCTCTTGCTCCTCCTCACCACTTGCTCCCGTCCATCTCAATCAAGTGCCACGTTTAGTACTTGATGAGGTGGGGGAACTGGCCGCGCGAGAGGCCGAAGGTGGCGTTGAGGTACTGGGCGAGGTGGGGAGTCTGCTTGACGGCCGCGAGGACGGCCTTGTCGACCGACTTCTGGTCGGCGGCCTTGTCGGCAGGGAACTCCTTCTTCTCCTTGTTCTCGCCGAAGAACTCCTTCTCGGTCGCCTTGGTCGACGACTTCTTGTCCTTCGAGAAGTAGGCGTCGTTGAACTTCGCGTCAACCTGGAGGTGGGGTGGAAGGCCGAGTATCGGTAGGAACGGGTCGC